TATTCTCCTCTCTAACTCTCCATCAACTCTTCTCTTTCTTTTCTCTCTCTGTCTCCCTCTCTCTAACTGTCTCCTTTACTCTACCCCTCCTGTCTTCTCATAGGCTCCTGCACTTGAGCTTTAGGTATGATAGACAGGTGTGACATGGGCATTCCGCCACAATTATATTCAAATAAGTACACTTATTGAGAAGACTGGTGCTGTGTTTCACTCAAAAGCCTTGTTGTATCAGGCTTAATAGCTGAAACTTGCATTCTGAGTTCTGACTCTACATTTTTCTAATGGTTTCTATGCTTATTTTTAACATAAATGAGAACAGAGAATGATGTTTTGCACAAGTATGTCATTACAAAAGGCATCAGTACTTTCATAGCCCTCTTTGATAGTTCCAGAGAATTTGCTTCTTGGTGAGCCCAAAAATTTGAAAGGAACTTTTCCTTGAACTGCAATTTCAGAGCACCATCCATGGATATTTCTTTTTTTTCTTTTTTCTTTTAAAATATCATTTTCCATTGAGTAGGGGAAAATCATAGGGAAAAGGATTTGGAAGTGGGTACTGGGGTAAATATAAAATACAGAATATGATAAACAATATACTGTATCTCATTATTACTTTCGCTGATATGTTTTCTTACTAAGCTTACTTTGCACTTAACTTGCCATTGTTTTCTAAGCTTTTAAAATCTACAATTATATCTTATATTTTCTTTCCTATAACTTTAACCCATTCATGTTCTCATATCTCATTCAGTTCTACAGAGATTCCCCTTTTTTCCAGCCCCAACATTTTCTTTGTCTTTTAATACTTTAGTTGAAATACCCATCTCTGCTGCTTCGAAAAAGTTTCCTATTAACTCCTGTATTGTTGGAATCTCCTGTTTTCCCCAGTATTTGACATATTTATTTACAATATTTACAATATTTTTTAGCCGCACCATTGCCAGTGGCTTCTGACATATAAAAGTCTTGGTGCTGTAGTTACATGTATTATCAAGTATCTTTTTTCTTTTTCTATCGAATATAGTATTATATTCAACAGAAACAGTTTAGGTTCATATGGAATTATAGTGGATAACATTTTTTTGGGTAAAAACTCATGGACTAGTTTCCACCATCCATGGATATTTCTATGAGCTTGTCTTCTTCTGATGCTGTTAGCCCCTCTAGTTCATACATATTAACTGAAAATGGATTTCTAATCCAATTTTTGCTTGTGTCAGGAACAGGAAAATATTCACGCAAACTATACTGCAAATCTTCCAAATGTCACTTGATAAGTAATGTGTCCTCTTCAGAAAACACTTTGTCAAAGCAAGAACATTTATGAGGGTTGGAAATGTCCCATAGTTTCAGCTTGATAGGCCACAATTCCTATTTTTTGATAATTGCTTCAATCTTGTCTTCAACTTAAAAAAATATAACTTTTTCTCCTGGAAGATGCAAGTTGAGCATATTTAAATGGGTGAATGTATCTGACAGATATGCTAATTTGATTAAGAAAAATCTGTCAAACAGTTGCTGAGGTGAAATTGCTTCTCTCTGAGGAATAATCTTGTCTCTCAGTTCCCAAAAACAAAACAAAACTTTTCCTCATGATAGCCAATAAACTTCCCAGTGTAGCAAAACATGGTGGCTTTCACTGTCCATATCATTGCAAAACTGTTCTAAAAGTCTTGAATTCACTGATTTGTTTTTTATAAAATTGACAATTTTGAGTGATTCATTTAAGGTCTGCTTTAGTTTTTATGCTATCTTCTTAGCAAATAGAGTTTCCCTGTGTACGCAGCAATAGTATCAAGTTACCAAAAGTAAGATTTTTAAATTCCGTGCTACAAGTCCAGTAAGCTTTCCAGACATGGCTCATACCCCATCTGTGCTAATTCCAATGCATTTTAACCAATCTGTCATGAGATGTTATAAACTCATTTAAGCTATTAAATACTTCTTCAGCTATAGCATGTACCAATGAGGAGAGGAACAATATGTCTTTGAAAACATTTCTCTTATGCTATCTAACATAGCAGAGTAAAGTCTCTTAGTTGTGTCTATTTCTTTGTCCAATTACAGTGCAAAGTAGGGGTACATGCAAATTCATTCAATAATTTTTTCTTGATATTGGCCGACAAATCGTTGATTTGCTTCTTAACTGTTTCATTTGACAAAGCTATTAAGGAAAGATCCTTGGCAGCAGCTCTCATTGATCAGTGCAGAAACCATGATTTTTGCAGCAGGTAATATACGTTCTTCGCCTATTGTGTGCTTTCCCCCCCTATTAGTTGAGAAACTTAAAATGAAGCCCTCACTGTATTTTCATTGTTACAACCAGTTGCAGTCTTTTAAACCATTTTTTAAACTTTCCCAAAGCTCATGCTCATTACTTTTGAAAAAATCAATGCTCTTTGTGGCATGTTCTTTATATTTAGTATTGATATATCTTCACAATTTTGATAATTTCATGGCCTCGTTGGACAATATCTTTAACACAACACACACTCTGTTAGTTGCTTGTCTTCAAGACCTGTACACATAAAGCCAGTCAACATATCCCTTGCTATATTGGTGACACTTTTTAAGATGACTGATAGAAGCTTCGTTTTGTTTTGAACAGGATACACCCTCATCAACAGCATCAACATTTCAGATTCAGGCAGTGATCCATTCTGAGATTCGGAAAAAAATGTATTGCTATGAAATTCATTGCTATAATATTGAAAAGTCATTTTACCCAATATTAACGGAACAATTAACGGAACAATTTTATCAAACAAGCACAAAGAAATATAATCACAAAGTCCGTCTGAACGCTCACTCACACTGACACTGCTGACTCTTTCTGCGGTTTCTGAGTATCTGCACAGTATCAAGAAATGTCACATGGTCTCTCTCAGCCACTCGGTGTCATTCACTTTCATGGTCTCATCATGTGCAGAAGTATCAAACAATTGTTTGCTGTCAAACAGTAATTTTCATAACCAATTTTTACTTTTTGTTTGTTTTTGATGGACGTGGTAGGTTAGAAAAACCAAGTTTTACACAAACAAGCAAGGGAAATTAAGCTTTCTTTCCTTCTTTCCTTCCTTCCTACCTTCCTTCCTTCCTTGATTGCAAAAGATCATAACAGATTCCCTGTGAGGACATTGTGACCTTCTGGAGCCTAGGCTGTAGTGGATAGTGTTTCCAGCAAGGAGTGTGGTGACAGTTTCTAACCAGTTTCATTGTCTGAGTGGAGAGCAGATTGTGAGAATGACCCAGAGTTTGTTGCTTCTGGCTGGTGTTTGCTGCACCCTTGTGCTGGATTAGCAGCTTCTCTGTTTGTAAGAGTGCATTTGCTTCTGCCATATTCTTGAATATTTGTAAACAAAGCAAACATTATAGAGAAAGCAAAATTCTCAAGTAGTTTCTCATGAACTTTGTAGCACTGCCACTGGGGGAGCATGTATTACTTTTATTGGAGATTTTGTGCTCTGGTTGGCTGAGTAGAATCCTATTTGAATGATGGAAAGTAATTGTGGTAATTTTTTTGCTGGGGTAGTGGCTTTTTAAAACAATGGCAAGTAGCCTCTTTCAGTCTCAGCACTGAATGGAATTTTGTAGAATCCAGTAAATTCTGGGGGAGGGAAGGGCATGGTACAGCAGCGGGAGTGATCAAAAATTGCACACACACACCCTGAATATTTATCTTAAAGCTTTAGTTGCTAGTCAGTTAGCTTTAGAAGAGCCAATGCAGCCTTTTAGAGCAAGAAACAAAACTTTACATAAGCTGGCAACATGCTGGTATTCTGAGAAGACCATGTGTCATTCTGAGGAAACCCAGAAGACCTGATCCTGATGTTTGGAGGGCTGTAGGTTGAAAAGGCTATGTTGTATTATAACAGGACCAAAAAAATGGAACTCAGGCTAGGGATGCAAGCAAAGGAGTTAGTACTTAGCAGTCCCCTTGCGTACTGTTGTAGATCAAAATATATGACTTTCTGTTTGAGATTGGGGTTTGAGATTTTTTCCCCCTATCCCTGCAGTCTCACTGAGCATACCATTTTGTTCTATATAACAAATGACTTGTATGTGCTCTTATGAGTGAAAAAGAAGTACAATGTATAGGAAAATGACTGTGGTAGTTGCAATGTCTGATCTTGTACCCAGCCTTGACTCGGAGGGACTCTTGGTGGAGATACAGTGTGTCTAGGTCCTCTTCTATATGCTTGCCCTTTCTCCACCTGTTTCACCTTGACTGTGATTGCAAAAACTTTTCCAGCAGCCTAAATCCTGTTGCTTTGCACAGCAAGTCACACTAAAAGTAGGTTTGTTGAATTGGTGGCGGTTTGGTGAATGAAGTCCTCCGAGGCACAGTTAGAGGAGGCCTGTTTGAATCAGTGGAAAATAAAGAGGTTTGAACTCAACAAATCTCCATTGATTCAGTTGTCTGAAGCTCTTTTCAGTTTAATTCTCAGTGCTCCTTGAAGATGGCTGAATTGCTGTAATACACTTGGTAGTTCTTTGAAACAACCATTTTCTCCTTGTGGAAAACCAGTGTAAAGACTTGCAAGTAAAATGGTCTTTGTATTCATGCCAGATCATCATCATCATCTTAGAACTGCAGAGGTGGAAGGGAACCTAGGATCTTTGAGCCAAGCCCCTATCAAGGAGGCACAGAGGGGAACTGAAGCAAAATGTGCTGCTTATTAAACTCCTAACCTATAGCTCCATGCTGTCAAACATTTCCTGTTGATATAGAAGCAAACAAAAAAGCTAGATTCTAATGCATTCATGAAGATTCTATGTTAGTATTTATAATTTAAATGTTAAATTATTCATAGGGTTTATATTCCTTGCAAAACCATGGTGCTAAAAGTTGTCTGCTCCTGCTGCATGCCTACTTAGTACCAAGTTGTCTAGTTTTGATATGTCATGGTAGAGTTTCTATTGATTTTGCTTATTTGATTTATAACTCTTCTTTTTGCTTATTTTAATTCTTCTTCTTTTTCCCTCCCTCTCCACTAAAGGCGTCTAAACAGAAATAATCTTCAGCTTCTCTCTGAGTTGCTGTTTCTGGGAACACCAAAACTCTACAGGCTGTAAGTAGATAAAATTCCATGTCACTTTTGGGAGCCTTTGGAATTCTCTTTGGTGCTTCAAAGTTCTAATTGAAGTGCTTTATTCGTTTCTGAAGCCAGATTTATCTCTGAAGGCACTTTTATCCTGTATTCATTTTTATTATTGAAAACGTATGTGGATTCCTTCTGTTTTGTTGATTATTTTTCAGTTGTTGTAGTTGACAGATCTAGAATTTAGAACCTGAGTTAGAGGTGATTGCAATTGTGGATTCAATTCTGGATGGAAAATAATTTCCAGTTTATTCTGCCCTCTTTTTTTTATTCTGCCCTCTTTTTTTTCATATAATAATATGGATTGGAAGTTGTTTAAAGAATGGCAACAATGAAATCAGAGTAGTTGCTTGAGGATTATTAGCATTAATTTAGGGCCTGACTACATTGGAATGAGGAATTGGTAGGATTTGATTACTGTGATTTGGTTTGATATTTCACTGTCCATATTGTTTCCAAAGTGAGCCGCAATATGGGCCATAGCCCCATTCACTCCTTCCTTTCTCTGGTCCCACCTCTCCCATCTTTTTATGGAGAGGCAGGGAGCTGCTTGAGAAGCACTGCCCTAGAGGCAGGGGAAAAAAAGCAGATTTGACAGGAAATAGGCTGGAAGAAATCGATTCTGCCTTGAATGTCACGCAGATATTAAAATATACGTCACATTCACCTCTTTTATAGGTGGAGCAAATTCTGCTGTATTTGACCATCTAGCTCTGTATTTGAAGATTTACCTGCTGAACAGGATATTATGTTAATGGGTCCTGAGTTGTGGGATTATATTCTTGAGTAGGGCATATGTTGGAATGCAGACTGTTGAAGATTTTTTTCATTCAAGTATGTTGATATATTCTGTCTCTTAATTAGAACTCTAGGATCTGTAGAAGTATAAAGTGGTTTCCCACCCTTTGTAAATTTGGCTGTGTGTGTCTCAACTGGATCAACTCTTCCAAAGTCATTTTTTAAATGGAGAGATTCCTTACAAGGAAGGAACTGGGGATTCATTTGGTAGAGGGTGTGCCTATTCAAAGAAGGAGAAAAGCAGCCCTCCTCCAGACTCCAGTTCTTCAGTCCTCAGTCTTGTCAAGTCTCTTTAAAACTTTGTCAGGATAAATGCCAATATGATATATACAGTATTTCCATTATTGGACAAAAAAATTAAAATGTGTTAGTTTGCTGTAGCTCTGGCAGTATTTTTCAGACTTAAAAATTTAGGAAAATTTTAGACTGTGTTGGTTAAATTGTGGATGAAATTTTCATGTTACTATCTGAGCAAGTGTCATTTTATAAGAAACAGAATCCTGAAGTTTGCAATGGCAGGTCTTTTTTTTCTCTACCCTCCCTTTGCCACTTTCCTTAAGTAAAGTGACATACCCTTTTACCTTTGAAGGGTATAAAAGCAAAGCAAATATAAATAGTGTAATCAAGGCTCTATATAAATTCAGTACATATTTGTGACCTACACATCTAGTAGCAGTACTATGGAGTAAATAGATTCTCTATTAAATATTTATAGATTTCATTATGCACTTTAGCTTGACAATACGTTGATCAAGATACTCATTTTGCAATGAGCTTCAAGTATTTTGTCAAACTGAAACCACTGCTAGTAAAGAAAAGAACATTTTTTTAAAATTTTGCCCCAGCTGAAAATAAATTGTTTCAATATTTGTATAACTTTCAAGATGTTATTTTTAAAAATTTATTTATTTTATTTATATCCCGCCTATCTAGTCAGTTAAGACCACTCTAGGCGGCTAGAGTTGTGGTTGTGGTTGTGTGTGTGTGTTTTTTTAAATAATTGTTCTAATTATATTGGTACTGCAAGGAAAGGCAAACTTTCTAGACAAGCCTGTCAGTACTCACATTGGGGACTGATGCTGAAGTTGTTCAGGTAAATTTCAAAACAAACAAACAAAATCCTTTGTGCTTGGGGAATCTGCTGTACAAAATATCACAGCATCTTGCTTCCCATTTTTTTCCAGAGGTGTTGCTCAAGAGTTCTGTTGTTATGCCTGCAGAAGTATAATGGTATAACCTGCAAGAATGACTTGCTACTAATTAATACGCATTGCATAGCAACTCACATGACTGGCGCACATGGCTTGCTAAGGAGTGGCACTGCCATTACACCAATATCACTAAGTAATAGGATTTGGGCTTCTGTTTCAAATATTGGGTCAAAAACCTACAGCTTCTACCAAGTGATTTGCTTTTAATCTTGGAACATTTTTGAGTTTTATATTGTAAGATAACAAGCTCTGGATATTACATTCAACTTTTTCTGATTGCCAGACACATTAAGCTTAGTTCTGTTTTTGGGATCTAACAGCATTGGGCTTAGATCAGAAGTGATAGTATTTGAATTCAATTTATTCTGATCCACAGTCATAGAAATGAATAGAATTGGTTTGGTTTAAGCATTGAACAATTTTTCATTTGACACTTAGTCCTTGTGGTCCTCCCACTATTTAATTCCATAGTAACTGTATTTCAAAATGTAGAACTGCTGTAGCATATATGCTATATCTCATAATAAATATCAAATCTATATATTTTATCATTGAGTGATTTTAAGTAATATCAAATAATTAAAAATAGACCTCTAGCACAGCTTGATTTTTCTCCTGTATGAAACAAATTATATAATGAGAACGAATTATGTATATAATTTGGCATTGGCAGTGAAGGTTGTGGACTGCAGGAAGTAGATGAGTCAATATTGCAATGGTCTTGATGCTTCAGCGTGCTTGATAATCCAACTATAACTGTTTATAACATGTAATTAAAAAGTTTAATAAATCTAATGCAGAGGCTTTCCTATACTCTTAGAAGCATTTATATCTTGAGATGACATGCTGTTATTTGAGAGCCTTTATATTTTAGAATAGATGTAGTTTGGTAAGGTAGTGCCAGTTTTACTCAGTCAATCAATATTTCATTCCTGTAGTGTAGGTAGTATATTACAAGTCTTTGAAACTTGTTAAATATGCCAGTTTATTTCTAAATAATAGCCATCTGATAAATACAGTGAAGTAGCTGAGATGCTGAGTAAAGAAGCACATATTTTGTGGCATAGTGTAAACACAATATAAAAAGGGTGCACTATATATAAAATATTGGACATAGTTGGGTACTGCATGTGGCCAGCTGTACTTTCCTTTGGCTGTCTGCTCCAATTTCTCATTGATGAAGTGGAGAGTGCACTATGTTTGCAGGTCAAGATGTTTGCTCAGAAATAGAAGTATACTTGCAACTATGTTCAGGGGCAGGAGACTAGTTTAAATAGCATTACCATTTATCAAATCCATTAACAGAACTGTGTAAAATAATAACAGCTCTATTTAACCTGCAGAGCAACATCATAAATTAAAAGCACTTGACAGGTGGAAAGTGTAAGTAAAGGAACGTGATAGGTTGAGTGTTAATGATACAGGACGTACTATTGGTTTAAATGCTTAAGGATAGGAAAACATGAATAAAATAAAATCACTTCAACAAACAAGCAAACTTTGACATACCATGCCAAACTTTGCTGAATAAGTTAATAGTTAACCTGTTGCAAATTCAATATGTATTATTTAATCACATTGTGATAATAATTTTTGAAAATAATTTGTGATATCAAGTTATATTGACATGTTTGTTAGGAATTTCACAACAGTATATAATACACATTTTAAAGAGCAAGAATTTTTTTCCTTTCTTGGAGTGACACAGATTTTCTGTGGTAACCCACATGCTAATACATCTGGAATCAGCAGTAGTGTCATTAAATGCGGCAGACCATTACTGCCTGGTGAGTGCTTATCTGAGGCAAATAGATTTTGACTGCTTAATTTGACTGGTTAGACCATAGTTCATTGATTGCCATTTGCTTGCAGGGTACTAATTTTCAATCCAAATTTCAGTGGTTTAAAAAGATATATCTATAAATACTATATTTTCTAAAGTATATAGAATTTCTCCTTCAAAATCATTTGTTTTAATGAAACTCTTCTGATAGGTAAACTGTAGCTAATTAGGAAATGAATAATGACAATCTTTTGAAGTGAATCTGCAGGTTATTACTGGAAAATGTCCAGACATACATTTTATGTTCTTATTTCCCACCACCACCACCAAAATGAGAGAAGAATAAGGTTTTTGGCCTAACGAGAGTGTTACTCTTGATTGTCTATTTAGTAGATTGGTTCTTATAGCCTGTAACAAAAGAACAAAACTGCATGGGGAGCTCTTGTAAAATTCCTCCTGAATTAATTTCTGCCAGCTATGATTAAAGTGTGTGGTACTAGATGTGTCAGACACCATAGTTCTTTGCTTCATTTTACTCCTGGCCTCTTTGGCCCCTGCCACAATAAATCCAACAATGGTTACGCAGGAATTGCAGGTTACAGTTGCTACGGTTACCGTTGTCCAGTCCTATCGACATCATTACTCATCTAGTGAGTTACCATGATAGCTACCGCTGACTTCCATTCCTGGGAACACTAGACACGTTTGAAGCAAAGGGATGAAAGTTCTTCAGATGGCTGTTAATGTTTTTTTAGATGAGCTGCTCTGGTCTTTGCATTCTTAGCATTAATACCTGTATAGATGTCACATAGGAGATTGCTTTGTAGTGGGCAGGGAAGGGAGAATGAAAATGATAGGAGGAACAAATGGCTGAAGAAAATACCTTGTTCTTTTATCATGACAAAATGCATAGTATAATAGTGGAATTTTTAACCATTAAAGACAAAAATGATTTTTAAAATTCAAATTATGATTTAAATTGTTTAAATGAATTTGATTTTTAAAAAATCATTAATTTATATCCACCTGAATATAAAATTTTATACTGTATTGTCCTTAAACATCATCATATACATTCTAGCATTCCTGAAGTTTAAAAAAAAATAACATTGACTTCAGGTTAAAAAAAAAAAAAGAATTCTAGTGGGTTCATAATTAACAACCAAAATTAGCCAAAA